TGTAGCTTAGGACTTACTAATTTCACTGTTGCTATTGTACCTTTTAAATTAAACTGATTTCTGTTTTAACGTAAACTAATGTGGCCTGCTATAGGAACTTAATTAATGACTATGTAATATATTTACAATAATTTTGACTTGTCATTTATGTATTTGGTTTATTTATTTACAATATGAAAAATATTTAGTTGCTAGTTATAATACTTGTACTTTCTTCTAACCACAGTTACAGGGTTAATTATACAATGACCAATTGAAATGATGACTCACTATGGAATGAAAATACATTGGAGAATTGGAATAATGATTCATGGTAGAATGAAGAGAATGTAGATGACCATTCAACATGGTTATCCATGATTAATAATGAATTAGCACAATATGAAGTAGTAGGTGATGTATTGGTGGGTCATTATTGTGAAATGTAAATATTTAAATAGCCTTGCAGAACTCGTGAGCAGACAGAAAATTTATGGGTGCAAGACATTTTGGGGGGTCACGATGATCAATGTCATGAAATGTTCAGAGTAAATAAACATGTTTTCCACCTCTTCTGTGCTAAATTGGAGGAATATGGTTTACACAAGTCTAAGTACGTAGGAATTGAAGAAATGGTCGCAATGTTTTCAAACACGATTGCATATAGACAATGCAATAGGATGATCTAGGAACGATTTCAACATTTAGCGGAAATTGCAGGTAGGCAGTTTCACAATATACTGCAAGCTTGCCTTAATCTATCGAAGGAACTTATTCAACCCATAAATCCTATATTTCGTAAAACTCATAGAAAAATTAAGGGTAATCCACGTTATTATCCATTTTTTAAGGACGCAATTGGAGTAATTGATGGCATTGATATACCATGTGTCATCATTGCTGCAAAACGAGACAAATTTATTGGCAAAGAGGGACTTCCAACACAAAATGTCACGACTGTATATGATTAGAATATGTGTTTCACTTTTGTATTGGCAGGATGGGAGGGATCCGCACATGATGCTTGTGTATTTGACAATGTTATTACAAATTTATTTCTAAATTTTTCTTGTCCACCTCCAGTTATATGTTAATAAGCTTCAATTAAGCTAATTTTTAGTTATTTTCTATTTTTATTAATTTTATAATGTCACAAATTGTTTCATGAATCATTGGGGAAATATTGGTTGATGTGTGATATCCAACACCAAATGGATATCTAGGTCCATACAAATCTGAACGTTACCACCTTCCAGACTTCCGACGACAAGTAGGATTCTGAAATAGTAACGAAGCCTTTAATTATCATCATTCTAGTTTAAGGTACATAATAGAAAAAGCATTTAGTGTTTGGAAGAACATATTTCAAAGCTTACAAATATACATAGTTACGAGTTCTAAACACAAGTGTATATGATTTGTGTAATAATGACCATTCATAACCTTATAAAGAGACATTCAAACTTTGACACTTTTTTTTGTAGAAGCTGAAAATGGTAATATAATTGGCGAACATGATCAGACAAAAACTGGTCAACCCTCGTCTTCAAATGTAACATCATAGTCTTCATCGCATATGAATCACATTTGTTATGCAATCAGAGACCAAATTGTCCATAGCTTATCAATTAATTAATTATATAATATTATTTCGTTTCATCTTATCACAATACAATGAATTGGAGGTAAAAAATTTTTTTATCCATTAAAATTATGTTTGACTTTATATTTACAATAATTTTTTATGATTTATCTAACGTTTTAAAATTTAATTCACTTATTAAATTTGATTTGTTATATTAAATTAATTTAAATTCATTGTATTACGTAAATTTATTTTTTAATCATATTTCACTTTATATTTACAATTTTTTTATGATTTATCTAATGTTTTAAAATTTCATTCACTAATTAAATTTCACTTCTTCATATTAAATTAATTTAAATTCATTGCATTATATAAATTAATTTTTTTAGTGCATTCAACACTTTTAAATATTTTTTATATACATCTAGTATCTTAAAATATTTTTTGATACATCTGGGACTAAGACAAAAAAATATATTTCAGTGTCCTGATGTATCTGAAAAATATTTAAAGATATAAGATACACCACAAAATATTTTGAGGTATTGAATGTATTTAAAAAAATACTTTAAAATACTAGATGTATTCTAAAAAAATATTTTAGAGTGCAAGACGTATTTAAAATACAGCTTGGGTGGTGGACGCGCCCTTTTCTTTCACGGGAAGCTACGGTCTATTGGCGGAAAAGAAAAGGAGAAACAAAGGCTAGCAAGAGAGAAGAAGAAAAGAGAAAAGAGGCTTTTTTTGTTTTTGTGCTTTTGCCCCCGGGGGGGTGTTGTTTTAAACCTGACGATGTTAGGCAACTAACCCCGATCTCACTTTGCTGGAAAAAATAACGCCCACCTCAGAATGCTCATCAACTAAACCCAAGATACCTTGAAATGTAATGCTACATAGCAATACTTGGCGATAGGCTTGTTCTACGTGTTTCCATGTTCTGATACGATCCAGTTGTGTTAGCTTCATATTCGCGGTGTTTTCTTTAACGCTTTGGATCATAAGCAATAAGTAAATAGTTAAATACATGCCACCCGGAAAATACATAAATTATAAATATAGCCGGTATAGTAGCACTGCAGCACAATAAGAATTAAGAAGTAACCAAGATGACTTGCACAAGCATGAGGAACAAGTTCCAATGTATTAGACAAAACTATAAAGGTCGGGTTTCAGATTACACACAAGCTAAGGTTTCAATATACTGATAAGCATCGCGCCACCCGAATTGTAAGGAACCGTGGGTTGGAGAGAGCATTAAGTCACAAATAGTCACAAATGTTTCATCTTTAAAGTGGTAAGAAATGAGCTTACCAGGTATATGAAGTAAAAGAGAAGGATGCTCTTCATTCTCATCCGGGATTAAAGAGAGTACAAGGAAGTTATACGACGGAGAAGAACGCGAACCAAGAGGGTGATGACCGTTCCGAACCCGGATCATTCCTGGCAATGCACGTTCATGCTCCGCCAGATCCACCTGGTACTTAAGTGACCACTCGGAGTAGTCCCTCTCCATCTGAGAGACTTGGATCTGAGCAGAACGAGGCCCGCCCGTTTGTATCAGATTTAAATGGCCACAAGCTGCTGCGAGACAATAGCTACCGCCTGAATGTAGCAGGTTAGGCATTGTTCTGAGGCACTCTTGAGTGAGATCGAAATAGAGTGACGAGCCTTTTGGGCTAGTCCAGTGAATTGCGCCATTCCAATACACTCCGTCCCCGAAAGCCATATCGTAGGGAGCATTAAAGGGAGAACCAGATAGCCTCCAATTTCCAGTTTCACTTTCCGAGGAGTATATCATAATCTGATAAAAGTAGCAGGACTCGACCGTGGCCCTAACGCAGACCACGGTATAATAAGGCGATCTGGTCGGATCAAAAGCTAGATTAACCCCAAAAATGGCGATAGATTGTTGGACAGGTTGATAAGATAGAGGAAGAACCAAGAATTGTTTGGTAGTGGGGTTATAAACAGAATATCTTCGAGGAGTCCCGAATTTCCCCAGAGACGAGCATAATAAGAGGCCATTGCAGGATTGCAGAATCTTGATGCCGCTAAGGTCGGGGGAGAAATGGAGGGAATTGAGGGGAGAAACGGAGCAGTTGGAGGTGAGAGAGAGAAATTGGAAGTCAGATTGGGAGCCCCTGGGAGTGCACCGCAGGAAGATGCCAGAGACCTTGGAAGTGGGGTGGTGGAGGGTGTGGCGACGACAAAAAGCGGGGTGAGAAATGAGGGAACGCCAGCCCTTGGAGACGCACTTGAATCGAATCAGGGCTTTTGCAGGAACGCGAATGAGGATTTCAATGAGCAAATTCTCGTTCTTTCCGATGACTTCGGCACTTGATAGCTGATCCATGATATCTGTCGGCATCGGAGTCGGCGCCGCTTATTTGCCTTGTCTTAGTTTTCTCAACATGGCACCGGACACCAGCCACGTGCGGACGGCTAAGACTGTAAGATTAATAATAGCCCACAGAATTATTATTATTCAGATAAACCCACGAGGACTAATATCGCCTAAAAATTTGATCCAAAAATTATCAACCGAAAAACAATTAAGCACTTTTTTTTTTTAACCAGGAAAAACAATTAAGCCCTACATTATTATAGCACCATGCAGATTGATGACAATCACAAGACGCATCCACGATTAAAATTTAAATTCTGGTGATGATTTCAGTAATTAATAATGAAGCATCACTTTAAAGAAAATTCAATCACATAAAATAAACTTTTGTTGAAAAAAAACAGCTTAATGTAATTTTTTTCCCCACATAATTCAGAATTATTTTAATCATAAGGGGGAAAAAATCAAGGAGGAGAAGAAACCGGCCGGGCCTGGGTGGGCTCAGGAGGATCAAGAAACCTATAATATACTCCTCCAATCTTTAATATAAGACCTATTTAACTAATTTGATTAGATTAAAGAAGTTAAGTAAATTAGTTAATTATAAGAAAAGTGACACATTTTTCCTAAGACACCATAATCATCTTTTTTAATACCTCCTCTTCCTCTTCTACTTGATTATGATTGAAGGAGTATCTATAGAGATAATTTAGAGAAAACTGATAAATATGATAAATAGGTCTTATATTTAAAATAAACCATTTAAAAATTAAGTCCTATATCAAGCATAGGAGGAGTATTTCATATTTGATTTATGAAAGCGGGCCCCGCGCTGCGTGAGTTCTGGCATGGACAAAGTCCCGACCAGCAATAGCATAACCTCATCGTCAGCGAAGGAAACAAAATCGAAGACTGGAGTTGGGTGCAGCAATTTCATGGCTCTCCCTCTATCAGTCCGCTGCCCAATCTCGACTCTTTCATCTCCACCCTCCTCACCCTTTCCTTCGATGTGCTTCCATTTTCGTCTCCGAAATGTTTCTTATTTTCGCGACCCGTCCTCCGCCCCCTCCGCGTTGACATCCGCCGATCTTACCCCTTTGTGACGGCCACCTTCTCCACCTCTGTGCCTTGTCCACCTCCCCTGCTAAAGGAGATAAGAAGCTGCTGCTTCAAGTCAATGATTTGAGAGCTAAGATTGTCGAATCCGACGTAGAAATTCTTCATGGGGTCAACCTCACCATCAACGAAGGAGAGGTTTTTAATCCCTCTTTTTTTAGTTATTCATTTCTTTCATCTGTAGCTCGCACAAGGAGTTGCCACTGGATTCTCTGTTTGTTTCTTTATCACTATAATTCAGAGTCGTTGTTGTCTTCGTTTTCCATTTAATAATTTTTACTCTTATCCTTTTATGTGGTAAGTAGATAAACGTGCCTCTGAACATGCGTTTTTCAATGGAGCTCTAATTTTGACTTTTGGTTTTGTATTTGTAGGTTCATGCGATCATGGGAAAGAACGGTTCTGGAAAGAGCACTTTTGCAAAGGTCAGTACTTTCTATCTTAATCCATAACTTTAATTCAAGTCTTAAATGTCTATTTCTATAGCTTTTCAGAGGAAAGAAACCGGAGGGTATATTGTCATGCCTTGCACTATAACTGGCAATGGTGAGAAAGTAATATCGTACACGTTTGGTTATATATGCCATGTGATGTCTGAAACATTCATTGCCAACATTATGTAATATTGCATGAACCAACTGTCTTGTGAAGGTCATTTCGGTTAAGTGAAAAGTAGACTCATTCATCCGTTTTTGTCCATGGAATACAAATGAAATACAAACCAGCTGATGGGATGGGGTTTGGTCACCCCTTTTATAAGTGGATTTTTTTTTTTTGGTAGGTTCTTGTTGGCCATCCAGATTATGAAGTCATTGGAGGCAGTGTTCTGTTCAAAGGGGGAAATCTGCTTGACATGGAACCTGAGGAAAGGGCACTTGCTGGCCTTTTTATGAGCTTCCAGTCCCCTGTTGAGATTCCTGGTGTTTCTAATTACGATTTTCTGGTTATGGCTTATAATGCTCGACAAAGAAAACTTGGCCAGCTTGAACTTGGTCCACTTGAGGTATTTGATGAACTGATTACTGGCAACATTTTCATTGTATACTACGCCTGGATTCTTATCCCTGTGGCCATCTTATGGAGTTGGCTTATTGCTTTGTACTTTGACTAGGTTACTTCTCATAATTGACACAGTGGGGTTATGGGTTCATGCCTCGTACCCCCGGTAGGTTTGAGTACTTCAGCTTCTCTTAATCAATGTGTGCAGACATGCTTAGTTGGATTTGGAAAGTACAGTCGTAGGCCATGACAATTGACAAGCTATGTGTGCACGCACATAAACCAGGAGTTTTGCTGATGACTTATTTTGTGGTCTTAGACTAACTGTTCGTTATAGTTTTGCATATGAAGACTTGCTTTCCAACCAGGAAGTTATAATATTGTGCTCTCCATCTTGTAACTTTCCTGTGAACTCTTATTGGAGATGCTGATTCTTGGCTGTTTTAGTGTTTTATTTGCTGATTCCTGTGGCACACAGTAATATTATTTTTACATGATTAAGCATCTGATCATTCATGAGCGGTAATTGTTTATGTGACCGGTTTCTTGTCTATTTCTTACTTCTTTGTTTTTCATATCATGCCAATTGCTTTATTGAATGTTGTCCTGTATTAATGAATGAGTTGAATAACTGGGTTTCTATTGACCTTTTTAACAAATTTGTTTTGTAGTTCTTGCCTTACCTAATGGAGAAAGTCAATCTTGTAAAAATGAAGGAAGACTTTTTGGATAGAAATGTAAATGAAGGATTTAGTGGTGGTGAACGGAAGCGCAATGAAATTTTTGCAGCTTGCGGTATCCTTTTCTTTTACACATTTTCTTTTGATGTTTTAACTTTCAGATTCTTGTTGGTTATTTACAGATACTATTCTCTATGATGCAGGTTTTGGGGGCAGACTTGGCTATTTTGGATGAAATAGATTCTGGATTGGATGTTGATGCACTGAGAGACGTAGCAAATGCGGTGAATCAGATTCTGACCTCAAAAATTCTCTGTTGATGATAACTCATTACCGACGAATTCTGGATCTCCTAAATCCTACACATGTTCACATCATGGTAGGTTATTGATCTTGAATATAAGGACGAGAGCTTTGCACTTGGAGGGAATGGCATCAGCTGAAATGAGAGCATGTTGCTTGTCTCCTGTCATGGGATTTGTTTGCATATATCACTCCCAAATTACTGGCCAAAAGAACCTTAAGTAGATAAGAGTTCTGTATAATTATTGTGACCGCGCTCTGCATTTATGGCACACAATAACTTGAATAAGAACCTTTCTTTTTTTTTTTTTTTAAACTGTTCTTTTAAAAATTTCAGGACAGGGGAAAGATTGCAAGGACGGGTGACTTATCCATGGTTGAAGTTATTGAGGCAGAGGGATATGAGACAGTATCTGCCTAATTTCATACAACTGGTTTTGGTAACCGCTCTTTCTCTCTGGCATGATGTTGGTCTCCTGTTTAATTTAAAGCCACTTCATCTTGTAAATATTTACAAGACCTCTTTCTTTGGCTTCTCTTTCCTAATCATGCATGATTGATAACTTTAT